GTTTTTGCTGCTGCTGTTGTTGCTGTGCTGGGAAGGTGCTTAATTTCCTTCAAAAACCCAGGGTGGTCATTCCAAACGAAGCCAAACCGTAGAGATAAGAGACTGTGCGGAGTGGCGTCCTGTTTTTTGAGCAGTGTACCGCAGGCGGGCTGTAAGGAGCTGGGTGGGGGTGCCGCCGGGGCTGCTGCCTGTCCGAGGCGGGGGGTCCCGGGGGGCACTGTCTGTGTAGGGATGGCAGCCGCGGCCCTGGGGGGTTCGGTGAGGTGGGGCGCTTCCCGCCCTTCTGCGTTTTCCTCCTCCTTGCTTTCCCTTAGCATTAGTTCGCTGTGGTATTTGTGATATTTGTGATATTTCTCGGTTCTGATCTGTTGGGACTCACTGGCGTTGTAAGCTTTCGCGAGGTGCTGAGATTACTGATATTATTCTTGTGTGTGTAATCTTAAGAACTGGAAACGTAGGCAAACCTAGAATCCTGAACAATTAAAAGTAAGGATAAGTACCTCTCCTGGGCACATTCAGTGTATAGTTTTTGTAACCTTTTTTGCTATTTCCTTTTTAAGTCACAAGCAGAGCATTATGTAAATTTATTTACGGTAAGAAAATAGTTCCGTTGACACGAAGAAATATTTTAAATTATCGACAGCCAAGGTGAATGTAAGCAAAATTGCATTTCGCCTCATAGCTCCTGTGCGTTCTTTTATAACATCCCGTCTAGTACAGCGAAAGGGTTCCAGTTGGCAACGTGAGCAGTTCCAGCAGTTGTTGCCAACAAGTTCCATCTCCACCGCGTCTTGAAGTGTGGTTGCTTCCTCCCTGGCATCTGATGGAAGGACCGTGAGGATTCCCTGAATTTAACTAACTCTATGTTGTGGGGGCCTGAAAGAGAGAGAGGAAAGGAAGGGTGGATGGAAATCCTTATCCCAACCTGCCCAGTTGGAAACCTCCCCTTCATAAATAAGGAGAAAACTTGTCAAAAGAAATACAGAGAGGGGGACCTGGCAGACAGGAGGGAAAAGTGTCGACATAGTCTCTACCACATTTGATTCAGAGTGCATTTGTGGTCCTGAGCAAATTATTTTGTTAATTTCAAATATATTATATACTTTCAAAATAGCATATATTTTATCAGGCTTACTACTACCAAAAGCCTGCAGACGCTTGCTGTGGCGTACCTGGCACTGTGCATCTCAGATGAGGATTCTCTCTCAGCTTTTGGAGCATATGGAAATGGGGCTACTGCAACATCTTTCCTAGGGTTTTTCACTTTAAAGAATTTTATGCACATTAAATGTTGTGACTAAATGTCAGTGGTTACCTTTATGTTTAAATTGGCAGATGTAGTTACAACCCCACAGTTAATTGCGCTGGGTGGCTGTTAACCACACTGTGGCTGGGTGGCTCTCCATGATGGTGGCCATTTGATGGAGGAGGGCTGGGCACGGTGTTGGTGGACCGGGGCTACCGGAGGCCACCTCTCTGTGCTCGGAACCACCGCGGCAGCACCACGGGTTCAGACGGTACGTTTGATAGTAATAGATGGGTCTGGCACCTGCTCCTGCAGGGCCGTCATACCTACTGCAATACGGGAGTACCATCAGCGTGCACCTAAGAGTAGGTATAAAGTATCTGGTAGCAGTCCATCTCTCATAAAACCGCCTTCAGCCTTGATTCAAATCCATTGATTCCTATTCCAGTTAAACCTGGAGAACTTAATTTGTCTTTTAATCCTTTTATTGTAAGCTAGGATAAAATTAATTTTACCCAAGAACTGTGCAAAGCCAATTAACGTGATCTGTAGAGTTATTTAGTAAAGTGCTTCAAACTGTTAAATTTATCCTGACCTCATGGCTGCACTCTCTGACTGCTTTTTAAATGAAGTAATCAATATCTCACAGCCTTTTAAACAATTTAAACTTCTGAAATATTTTACCTATATTTTAAAAACTTCATAAATATGCTTAGTGCTATCTGTAAAGCTGTCTCCTCCAAGCAGTTGTGGATGTTCAGTTCTCAAAAATGGAGATATTTTGAAGTATTTAATATGGGCATTTTGTCTAAAGAAAAGCCAGCTGGGTGAACGCATGGACGCGATAGGTTTCTCTATTGGTGCGTGGAACTGGAAGCGTGTTATTTTTACAACTAAAATGTAGAACGTTTTTGTCCTTTCACCGGTGTAGCTTCTGTTTTCCACATAGAGCTATTTGAGGTTATTAATTTTCTTACTGTGATAGGGTGATCAACCGTCCTGTCAAGAAAATGGATCTCTGTGTCACCCTTTAGCATGATTAAATGGAGGCACGTCGCTGTGAGAAAATACCAAATTTTCATGAGACAAATGAAACTGTAGAAAGGACTACCTTTATAGACATTATTTCATTTTAAAATCTCCCCAATGGCTGTCAGTTTATTTGTAGGAAATCATTACAATTAATTATGTTTCCACTAGTAATTAAAAAATAAAAAGGTAAAGGCAAAAAATATTTAAGGTTCCCTCCCCCCACCACCACCCTCATCTGGAGGTTTTGTGGAGGGATGTTGCTGAGAGGAGGGTTGGGTTTTTTGTTTGGGTTTTTTTTCTAGTTTCTTGAGTTTTTTGAGGTGGAAAATCCTACGCTGGAGCAGAGAGCAGGATAAAGGCTATCATATGCCAGATTGCTAATGAAACTCTCTTAAGACTTTCCCCACCCTGTTCAGGTTGGAATTTATCGTTCGGTTAACAAAGAGTTATCTCCTCGACATCTGGGTGCTGGAGTCGCGGGGTCAGCAGTAGGAGTTAGCTCTGCGGCGAGCCGACGCCGAGCACGCAGCACCGTGATGCTGCGGGCCCGGGAGTTTTCCTGCTGGATCCTCTGTTAATTGCAGAGGAAATGGATCGTCGCGTGCTGCGCAACTGCGATGTCCGGGGCACAACGGAGGCGTGGGTTGAGACGGAGCTTGCGGAGGCCCACCAGTTCGTTATTTGCTGATCAAAGCTGAAATGTGAAAGTTCTCTTGAAGCAGGCCTGTAATTTAAAGGACGCTCTGCAATCCGTCCGTTGGCATCTAAGGAAGGGTTAACTTCATATTGCTGTAATCAAATGAAAGGTGGGCGGGGGGAGGGCGCAGCGCACCGAGTGCCCCCGTGGTTTAATTTCCTACTGGAAGCAGCACATGTGTTCGCTCTTCCTTTCTTCCTCGCCTGGGA